AGTATATGGAATAGGTGGTAAGTTACTAAATGCTGTAAAGAGTTTTTATGAGGATAGTGAGGCTCAGGTTAGGGTGTGTAGAAGAGAGGGAGACTACTTCCCGGTAAAAGTAGGTCTTAGACAGGGATGTGTAATGTCACCATGGTTGTTTAATATATTTATAGATGGGGTTGTAAAAGAAGTAAATGCTAGGGTGTTCGGGAGAGGGGTGGGATTAAATTATGGGGAATCAAATTCAAAATGGGAATTGACACAGTTACTTTTTGCTGATGATACTGTGCTTATGGGAGATTCTAAAGAAAAATTACAAAGGTTAGTGGATGAGTTTGAGAATGTGTGTAAAGGTAGAAAGTTGAAAGTGAACATAGAAAAGAGTAAGGTGATGAGGGTATCAAATGATTTAGATAAAGAAAAATTGGATATCAAATTGGGGAGGAGGAGTATGGAAGAAGTGAATGTTTTCAGATACTTGGGAGTTGACGTGTCGGCGGATGGATTTATGAAGGATGAGGTTAATCATAGAATTGATGAGGGGAAAAAGGTGGGTGGTGCGTTGAGGTATATGTGGAGTCAAAAAAACGTTATCTATGGAGGCAAAGAAGGGAATGTATGAAAGTATAGTAGTACCAACACTCTTATATGGATGTGAAGCTTGGGTGGTAAATGCAGGAGCGAGGAGACGGTTGGAGGCAGTGGAGATGTCCTGTCTAAGGGCAATGTGTGGTGTAAATATTATGCAGAAAATTCGGAGTGTGGAAATTAGGAGAAGGTGTGGAGTTAATAAAAGCATTAGTCAGAGGGCAGAAGAGGGGTTGTTGAGGTGGTTTGGTCATTTTAGAGAGAATGGATCAAAGTAGAATGACATGGAAAGCATATAAATCTATAGGGAAGGAAAGAGGGTAGGGGTCGTCCTCGAAAGGGTTGGAAAGAGGGGGTAAAGGAGGTTTTGTGGGTGAGGGGCTTGGACTTCCAGCAAGCGTGCATGAGCGTGTTAGATAGGAGTGAATGGAGACGAATGATACTTGGGACCTGACGATCTATTGGAGTGTGAGCAGGGTAATATTTAGTGAAGGGATTCAGGGAAACCGGTTATTTTCATATAGTCGGACTTGAGTCCTGGAAATGGGAAGTACAATGCCTGCACTTTAAAGGAGGGGTTTGGGATATTGGCAGTTTGGAGGGATATGTTGTGTATCTCTATACGTATATGCTTCTAAACTGTTGTATTCTGAGCACCTCTGCAAAAGCAGTGATAATGTGTGAGTGTGGTGAAAGTGTTGAATGATGATGAAAGTATTTTCTTTTTGGGGATTTTCTTTCTTTTTTTTTTGGGTCACCCTGCCTCGGTGGGAGACGGCCGACTTGTTGAAAAAAAAAAAAAAAAAAAAAAAATATATGCTTCAATGTAAACACTTGATCTACACATCCCCTACCCACTCTGAAGCCTCCCTGCTCATCCGCAATCCTACATTATGTCTTACCTCTAATTCTTTCAATTATAACCCTACCGTATACTTTTCCTGGTATACTCAGTAAACTTGTTCCTCTATAATTTTTACAATCTCTTTTGTCCCCTTTCCCTTTATATAAAGGGACTATACATGCTCTCCGCCAATCCCTAGGTACCTTCCCCTCTTTCATACATTTATTAAACAAAAGTACCAACCACTCCAACACTATATCCCCCCCTGCTTTTAACATTTCTGTCATGATCCCATCAGTTCCAGCTTGCTTTACCACCCTTTCATTCTACGTAATGCCTCACGTACTCCACCACACTTACATTCTGCTCTTCTTCACTCCTAAAAGATGGTATACCTCCCTGGCCAGTGCATGAAATTACCGCCTCCCTTTCTTCCTTAACATTTAAATGTTCCTCAAAATATTCTCACCATCTACCTAATACTTCCCTCTCCCCATCTACTAATTCCCCTACTCTGTTTTTAACTGACAAATCTATACTTTCCCTAGGCTTTCTTAACTTGTTTAAACTCACTCCAAAAATTTTTTCTTATTTTCATTAAAATTTCTTGACAGTGCCTCTCCCACTCTTTCATCTGCTCTCCTTTGCACTCTCCACACCTCTTCACCTTTCTTTTACTCCCCATATACTCTGCTCTTCTTATAACACTTCTGCTTTGTAAAAACCTCTCGTAAGCTACCTTTCCTTTAATCACACCCTTTTAAACTTCATCATACCACCAATCACTCCTCTTTCCTCCTGCCCCCACCCTCCTATAACCACAAACTTCTGCCCCACATTCAAATTTACTGCATTTTTAAAACTTTTCCCAAACCCCTCTTAAAAACCCCCCCCACTACTCATCTTTGCACTAACCCACCTTTCTGCCAATAATCGCTTATATCTCGCCCGAACTTCCTCCCCCCTTAGTTTTTTACACTTTCACCCCCTTACTTTTTGTTGTCACCTTCCTCTTTTCCCATCTACCTCTTACTCTAACGTACTAAAAACTAAATAATGATCCGATATATCAGTTGCCCCTCTATAACATGTACATCCTGGAGCCTACCCATCAAACTTTTATCCACCAATACATAATCAACAAACTACTTTCATTACGTGCTACATCAACCTTGTATATTTATTTTATCCTCTTTTTCATAAAATATGTATTATTTAAATACCAAATTTCTTTCTACACATAGCTAAATTTAAAGGTTTCCCTTTTTACATTTACCCCTGGCACAGCAAATTCCCTACTACTCCCTCTAGAACTTTTTTAAACCCACTTTAGCATTGAAATACCCAACCACCATTACTCTCACATCTTGATTCAAAACCCCCCACGCATTCACTCAACATTTCCCAAATCTCTCTCCTCCTCTACACTTCTCTCTTCTCCAGGTGCTTTACACGCTTACTAAAACCCCACTTTCCACATCCAATTTTTATTTTACTCCACATAATCCTTGAATTTATACATTTGTAGTCCCTCTTTTCCGCCATAGCTTATCCTTCAACATTATTGCTACTCCTTCTTTAGCTCTAACTCTATTTGAAACCACTGACCTAATCCCATTTATTCCTCTCCATTGAAACTCTCCACCCCCCTTTAGCTCTGTTTCACTTAAAGCCAGGACATCCAGTTTCTTCTCATTATAACATCCACAATCATCTCTTTCTTATCATTTGCACAACATCCACGCACATTCAGACTTCCCACTTTGACAATTTTCTTTTTCTTATTCTTTTTAGTAATCTTACAGGAAAAGGGGTTACTAGCCCATTGTTTTCCCGGCATTTTTTGTTGACTTTACAACACGCATGGGCTTACGGAGGAAAGATTCTTATTCCACTTCCCCATGGATATAAAAGGAAAAATAATAAGACCAAGAACTATTAAGATAAAATCAAAAAAACTCAGATGAGTATGTATAAAAAACGTGTACATGTATGTGTAGTGTGACCTAAGTGTAAGTAGAAGTAGCAAGACATGCCTGTAATCTTGCATATTTATGAGACAGACAAAAGACACCAGCAATCCTACCATCATGTAAAACAATTACAGGCTTTCATTTTACACTCACTTGGCAGGACGGTAGTACCTCCCTGGATGGTTGCTGTCTACCAACCTACTACATGTACAAGCATATATATACACACCCCACTGGGTTTTCTTCTATTTTCTTACCAGCTCTTGTTCTTGTTTATTTCCTCTTATCTCCATGGGGAAGTGGAACAGAATTCTTCCTCCATAAACCATGCGTGTCGTAAGAGGCGACTGAAATGCCGGGAGCAACGGGCTAGTAACCCCTTCTCCTGTATATATTACTAAATTTGTAAGGAGAAACTTTGGTTTTTTCCTTTTGGGCCACCCCACCTCAGTGGGATACGGCTGGTACGTTGAAAGAAAGAAAGAAAAAGGAGAAACTTTTGGTTTTCCTTTTGGGCCACCCCACCTCGGTGGGATACAGCCGGTGTGTTGAAAGAAGAAGTACAGCTTTTGTTTTGCCTTTTTTATCTTTTTCTTATAGGAGCTATACTGTTGTACACTGAAATTATATATCCCCCTTATATTTCAGAGTGCTGTATATTGTTCTGTGTTTTTATTTCAAAATATTATTCACAAAAAGTTTTTTACATCTGTATAAAGAAGTAGCTGAGTGATAATACCATACACAATTGGCAGAAGCTTGGGAACCACTGCTCTAGAGAAGACAATCACAAAGTTAAAATAATTTAAAAATAATATAAACAATTAGAAAATAATTACATACCAATGAATGAAATATTAAGATAGACACCAAAATCAGAATCCAGTGCTATGTATGAATTGAAAGTAATTTAAATTTTAAACCTCTATTACATGTAAAAATTATATAGCATGTAAAAATTATTATATAGCAGACAGTGAATTAGAAAGCAATCAGACTGTTTGAGACTTTCCTAACATACTGAAAAAGTTCAATCAAAAAGCCATTACACACAAACAGGACTGGTAATGCACTATATAAATAAAAAATGAAGTAATGTGCAAAACTCAAGTAGTTCTCTCTGTAAATTTTCTCAATCTGTTCACCAACCATGTACAATATACTATTATTTTTGATGTACGATTTTAAGATATTTTTTAAAAAGCTGCAGTATTTGAAATGTTTAGAGATCTCTGGAACCTAACCATATTTTTCCCACACATTCTTCAGTTTATATGCAAAAATCCCTGGAACTAAACCCTCATATTAACAGACAGTCTACTGCATAAAAATTTTCCCCAAAAAATTTTCTCTTTGAAGTACAACCATTAAGAGGAATCTATCAGTACAAAAACACAGATGTTCTTCAAATATTCTGCTCCAAGTAATGCAGGTATGAAAATGCTCACTAGAACCAAGTGGGCTTCATATGCATGATCCTACATCAAGCAATGCTTTAAATAATCAAACCTAAGTATATTAGATATCATAATCACTTAACATCTACCATATTATCCAGAATATTTACATACATTAGATAAAACATTTTGCATCTTATTACCTACCTCTGTGTAAGCTTGGCACATGGTTTCGTAGAGTGACTGATGAAGGTGAATTGAGGATTCCAGGGCTATGATATCCGAGGGCAAAGTTGTCACTTTACAACTCTCTACCCATGTAGGTACACTCTCAATATACTGAAAAAATAGTACAATATATCTGAAATACAGTAATGTGAATCACATCTATTCTTAATGGTTGTAAATGAATAAAATCACAGAATTTATTTTGACTCATGGTATAAGCTCACAGATTACCTTTTGTACAGTGGACCCCCGCTTAACGATCACCTCCCAATGCGACCAATTATGTAAGTGTATTTATGTAAGTGCGTTTGTACGTGTATGTTTGGGGGTCTGAAATGGACTAATCTACTTCACAATATTCCTTATGGGAACAAATTCGGTCAGTACTGGCACCTGAACATACTTCTGGAATGAAAAAATATCGTTAACCGGGGGTCCACTGTATTATTGTATAACTGAAAGATGAACATCAACTAATATAATTTTTATATGAACCTTAAATAATCTCTTTCTATAGAGGAGCAGAGATGTACCAAAGAATGCACTATAAAGTCAATGAGAAATGAGCACTCTTATTATTCTTATGTACAAAATTTCTTGAGACTCGTCTCATTTTATAAGGAAATTAGAATATCATTTTGTGACTGCTTTTAATCATACACAAAAATCATAAATTATATTTCAATGAATAATATGAGCAAGTTAGAAAAGGACATTAATTTCAAATTTTTGCAATTAATAACAACTACCAAAAAATATGAAACATGAACATTCCCTTTATCAATGTTAACTTAAGTGGGACTGATTAAAGCTATATTTAAATTTACTGTACTGTAATGTTACCTGCTCAGCTTTTTGATGAAACATAACAGACAGGGCCAACACTGAAGATCTTTCATCTAATCCAGCAGCAAATTCTTTCCAAACCTAAAAAAATATTTGGGTAACATGAATTTAGCAACCAAATCCTCTACGTAAATAAATTTAGAATCCATTTTCCATACAAAGTTATTGCAGGAAATGGCTATAATAATAGGCAGTATGGGAATATAAATAAGTTGCAATTGCTGAAGACACAATAGCAACAACTGAAAACTTGATTTAAGCAATGTTTTACCTATGCATCAGATTATTTTCAGGTGTAATGGATCATACCTGGTAGTAGCACAATACACAGGGAAAAGACACACACATACAGTCAAGTGTTAGCACAAAAATATGCAAATATACTGTATTAAAGAAGCATTGCAATAGGCCAACTGACCATATAAATCACTAATGCTGGTGATATATATCGTTTAATATATGCATGTATAGTTCCTTTATATAAACGGAAGGGGACAAAAGAGACTGTAAAAATTATAGGGGAATAAGTTTACTGGGTATACCTGGTAAAGTGTTTAGTAGGGCTATTATTCAATGAATTAGAAGTAAGACAGAGAGCAGGATTGCAGATGAACAAAGAGGCTTTAGAATGGGTAGGGAATGTGTAGATCAAGTGTTTGCATTGAAGCATATATGTGAACAGTATTTAGAGGAGGCGAGGAGGCGGTTGGAGGCAGTGGAGATGTCCTCTCTAAGAGCAATGTGTGGTGTAAATACATGTATTATGCAGAAAATTCGGAGTGTGGAAATTAGGAGAAAGTGTGGAATTAATAAAAGTATTAGTCAGAGGGCTGAAGAAAGGTTGTTGAGGTGCTTTGGTTATTTAGAGAGAATGGATCAAAGTAGAATGACATGGAGAGTGTATAAATCTGTAGGGGAAGGAAGGCAGGGTAGGGGTCGTCCTCAAAAATGTTGGATGGAGGGGGTAAAGGAGGTTTTGTGGGCGAGGGTCTTGGACTTCCAGCAAGCGTGCATGAGCATGTTAGATAGGAGTGAATGGAGACAAATGGCTTTTGGGACCTGATGAGCTGTTGGAGTGTCAGCAGGGTACCTATTTTGTGAAGGGATTCAGGTAAACCGGTTATCCGGACTTGATTCCTGCACTTTAAAGGAGGAGTTTGGGATACTGGCAATTTGGAAGGACACCTAAGCTGTCGTATCTAAGCGCCGCTGCAAAGACAGTGATTATGTACGAGTAATGGTGGGACCTGATGAGCTGTTGGAGTATGAGCAGGGTACCATTTTGTGAAGGGATTCAAGGAAACCAGTTAGCCGGACTTGATTCCTGCACTTTAAAGGAGGAGTTTGGGATATTAGCAATTTGGAGGGACACCTAAGCTGTTGTATCTAAGCACTGCTGCAAAGACAGTGATTATGTATGAGTGATGGTGAAAGTGTCGAATGATGATTAAAGTTTTTTTTTTCTTTTCTTTTAGTTTTTTTTTTTTTTTTTTGGGGGGGGGGGGGACACCCTGTCTCGGTGGGAAATGGCTGACGTGTTAAAAAAAAAAATATGCACTGACAAAGGCTCTGCCAAGTGGAAGCATAGGAATTCACATAACCATCTAACGAAATATATACTGGTTCAAAAATATCAATAAAAGTAGAGGAAAAGTACAAGAGAAAATGTTATGAAACTGCTTTCATTGTGTCATCAAACACAATCACACAGAAATAAGACACCTTCCAACTGGTAAAACTTCTAGAAATACAGATATTAAACCAGGTATATCCCCAAGCACTACCAATACTATTATTGCCATCAATATCACCACTCAACATGCCAGCAAGACTTCTGACTATGTTCTCTCCTGCTTACATGCTGTACTCCCACCGGTTATGTACATTTACTCTCGAAAAAACCTTCTGCATGGGCAAAACATTGTCTGAATAAAGTTTCTAACTGCTATGATTATTTCTTTATCAGTTACAGGGCAATGGCTGTAAATAGTATTCTACAATCAATCAGAAAAATTTTGAAAAATTATGAAAAAAGGAGACTCCATTTCAAAAACAGTGAATGATTAGCAACTAAGAGTGATTCTTTGGAACGTAAGTCCTGTTTCCTGGAATAAAAAATTAAAAACCGCTCACAAATGTGGTGGTTTTTAATTGTACATTATCAGCAGGTTGTTTATCATATACAGACAAAACATCATAATGTTACATAGTACATGATTAACAAGTATATTGTGGCAGGAGAGTGATTTGTTTTAATAATGTTTTACCTGGTCTAATTTGGCTGCTACATTTCCAATGTGTTGAGCTGCATAGTGACCACTTTCCATGAGTCTAGATGCTACACTTAGTATTCTATTGATGTTCAGGTACACCTTCTGTTGGTAGAAATGCTGAGATAATGTTTGATATCTCTTATATTTAAATATCAATACATTAACACTTCATATACTGGCAGTGATTTTTTAATAACTCCAAATCCATAAACACACTATAGAGTCCCATACCTTCATCTAGGTATTGAACATTTACAGGCTTTAACAAAGATACTTGATCAATTTGTCCATTCTCTTCTTAAATCCAATTTATTCTCAATATGTATAACAAAGAGAGCAAGGGGCTAATAACCCCTTCTGTATAAATTACTACTTTTTTTTAACAAGTCGGCCGTCTCCCACCGAGGCAGGGTGACCCAAAAAGAAAGAAAATCCCCAAAAAGAAAATACTTTCATCATCATTCAGCACTTTCACTTCACTCACACATAATCACTGTTTTTGCAGAGGTGCTCAGAACACAACAGTTTAGAAGCATATACGTATAAAGATGGTTTAGAGAGACACGTAAGCAAACACTATGACATATTTATTAGAAAAAGTTTCGGTCCTGGGACCTTGATCACTTCTGATCAAGGTCCCAGGGCCGAAACGTTTTCTAATAAATATGTCATAGTGTTTGCTTACATGTCTTTCTAAACCAACTTGTCGGTATTTATTACCAAGGTTTATTATTATTTTATTTTTTTTTTTATTATCACACTGGCCGATTCCCACCAAGGCAGGGTGGCCCGAAAAAGAAAAACTTTCACCATCATTCACTCCATCACTGTCTTGCCAGAAGGGTGCTTTACACTACAGTTTTTAAACTGCAACATTAACACCCCTCCTTCAGAGTGCAGGCACTGTACTTCCCATCTCCAGGACTCAAGTCCGGCCTGCCGGTTTCCCTGAACCCCTTCATAAATGTTACTTTGCTCACACTCCAACAGCACGTCAAGTATTAAAAACCATTTGTCTCCATTCACTCCTATCAAACACGCTCACGCATGCCTGCTGGAAGTCCAAGCCCCTCGCACAACAAAACCTCCTTTACCCCCTCCCTCCAACCTTTCCTAGGCCGACCCCTACCCCGCCTTCCTTCCACTACAGACTGATACACTCTTGAAGTTATTCTGTTTCGCTCCATTCTCTCCACATGTCCGAACCACCTCAACAACCCCTCCTCAGCCCTCTGGACAACAGTTTTGGTAATCCCGCACCTCCTCCTAACTTCCAAACTACGAATTCTCTGCATTATATTCACACCACACATTGCCCTCAGACATGACATCTCCACTGCCTCCAGCCTTCTCCTCGCTGCAACATTCATCACCCATGCTTCACACCCATATAAGAGCGTTGGTAAAACTATACTCTCATACATTCCCCTCTTTGCCTCCAAGGACAAAGTTCTTTGTCTCCACAGACTCCTAAGTGCACCACTCACTCTTTTTCCCTCATCAATTCTATGATTCACCTCATCTTTCATAGACCCATCCGCTGACATGTCCACTCCCAAATATCTGAATACATTCACTTCCTCCATACTCCTCTCCCTCCAATCTGATATTCAATCTTTCATCACCTAATCTTTTTGTTATCCTCATAACCTTACTCTTTCCTGTATTCACCTTTAATTTTCTTCTTTTGCACACCCTACCAAATTCATCCACCAATCTCTGCAACTTCTCTTCAGAATCTCCCAAGAGCACAGTGTCATCAGCAAAGAGCAGCTGTGACAACTCCCACTTTGTGTGTGATTCTTTATCTTTTAACTCCACGCCTCTTGTCAAGACCCTCGCATTTACTTCTCTTACCACCCCATCTATAAATATATTAAACAACCACGGTGACATCACACATCCTTGTCTAAGGCCTACTTTTACTGGGAAAAAATTTCCCTCTTTCCTACATACTCTAACTTGAGCCTCACTATCCTCGTAAAAACTCTTCACTGCTTTCAGTAACCTACCTCCTACACCATACACTTGCAACATCTGCCACATTGCCCCCCTATCCACCCTGTCATATGCCTTTTCCAAATCCATAAATGCCACAAAGACCTCTTTAACCTTATCTAAATACGTTTCACTTATATGTTTCACTGTAAACACCTGGTCCACACACCCCCTACCTTTCCTAAAGCCTCCTTGTTCATCTGCTATCCTATTCTCCGTCTTACTCTTAATTCTTTCAATAATAATTCTACCATACACTTTACCAGGTATACTCAGCAGACTTATCCCCCTATAATTTTTGCACTCTCTTTTATCCCCTTTGCCTTTATACAAAGGAACTATGCATGCTCTCTGCCAATCCCTAGGTACCTTACCCTCTTCCATACATTTATTAAATAATTGCACCAACCACTCCAAAACTATATCCCTACCTGCTTTTAACATTTCTATCTTTATCCCATCAATCCCGGCTGCCTTACCCCCTTTCATTTTACCTACTGCCTCACGAACTTCCCCCACACTCACAACTGGCTCTTCCTCACTCCTACAAGATGTTATTCCTCCTTGTCCTATACACGAAATCACAGCTTCCCTATCTTCATCAACATTTAACAATTCCTCAAAATATTCCCTCCATCTTCCCAATACCTCTAACTCTCCATTTAATAACTCTCCTCTCCTATTTTTAACTGACAAATCCATTTGTTCTCTAGGCTTTCTTAACTTGTTAATCTCACTCCAAAACTTTTTCTTATTTTCAACAAAATTTGTTGATAACATCTCACCCACTCTCTCATTTCCTCTCTTTTTACATTGCTTCACCACTCTCTTAACCTCTCTCTTTTTCTCCATATACTCTTCCCTCCTTGCATCACTTCTACTTTGTAAAAACTTCTCATATGCTAACTTTTTCTCCCTTACTACTCTCTTTACATCATTCCACCAATCGCTCCTCTTCCCTCCCGCACCCACTTTCCTGTAACCACAAACTTCTGCTGAACACTAACACTACATTTTTAAACCTACCCCATACCTCTTCGACCCCATTGCCTATGCTCTCATTTGCCCATCTATCCTCCAATAGCTGTTTATATCTTACCCTAACTGCCTCCTCTTTTAGTTTATAAACCTTCACCTCTCTCTTCCCTGATGCTTCTATTCTCCTTGTATCCCATCTACCTTTTACTCTCAGTGTAGCTACAACTAGAAAGTGATCTGATATATCTGTGGCCCCTCTATAAACATGTACATCCTGAAGTCTACTCAACAGTCTTTTATCTACTAATACATAATCCAACAAACTACTGTCATTTCACCCTACATCATACCTTGTATACTTATTTATCCTCTTTTTCTTAAAATATGTATTACCTATAACTAAACCCCTTTCTATACAAAGTTCAATCAAAGGGCTCCCATTATCATTTACACCTGGCACCCCAAACTTACCTACCACACCCTCTCTAAAAGTTTCTCCTACTTTAGCATTCAGGTCCCCTACCACAATTACTCTCTCACTTGGTTCAAAGGCTCCTATACATTCACTTAACATCTCCCAAAATCTCTCTCTCTCCTCTGCATTCCTCTCTTCTCCAGGTGCATACACGCTTATTATGACCCACTTCTCGCATCCAACCTTTACTTTAATCCACATAATTCTTGAATTTACACATTCATATTCTCTTTTCTCCTTCCATAACTGATCATTTAGCATTACTGCTACCCCTTCCTTTGCTCTAACTCTCTCAGATACTCCAGATTTAATCCCATTTATTTCCCCCCACTGAAACTCTCCTACCCCCTTCAGCTTTGTTTCGCTTAGGGCCAGGACATCCAAGGTTTATACCACGTATAAAGATACACAACATGTCAAAAAAAAAAAATCTGTTTTTCTTGTCAGGTCACCCTGCCTCGGTTGGAGACAGCTGGTGCGTTGAATGAGCAACAAAATGACCAAAGTGCTGTTCTGCATCTACACTATAAATATGTAATTTACAAACCTGACAGGCAACAGTGAACTGGGAATGAGCCTCTTGAAGATCTTTGGATACTTGGTATGAATGACCTATTTCTACGTAATTGACTAGGAACTGTTCACGGTTATGGTACACCCAATCAAACATCTGGAATTATAATACCAAGTATAATCAACAGTTCTCTTTTATTATCTTTTCATGGTTTTATTATTTTTTGTATTGTTTTATTATTTATGAGGCCTGGTCACCGACCAGGCTGCAGGGGCACTGACCCCTGGAACCCTCTCCAGGGTATACTCCAGATCTCCAGATATGTGAAGCACTAAACCTGTGTGGGTTATTGAACACATGGAGTGGTGGAGAATCACTCTATCTCTATTATGAATGCAAAAAATTCTCTTATATACATATATGAAAGATTTTTTGTTTTTTATTATTTTAAAGGTAAGCCAAGAATATTAATTTGCCGAGTCCAAATATCTGGGAGCCTATAACAAAAAATAGACATACCTTCTCCACATCTTGTTCAAAGAGTCTGAGCTGGAAGCACTGATCAAGTCTCATCTTTTTATGCTGCCAGAGTTGTTGGACGTGTTGCTGTGCTTGATGTACAGACTCCATTAAACTTAGAATCTGTTTTGAAAAACAATATCTATAAAAAGACTTTTGCATATGAATATGAAAAATGACTTGAAACAAATTTATTCAAGTTTATAACAACACTAAGCTGCACATTAAAAACTAAATTTAGTTACAATTTTACAAAACTGAGCAATTTACCTCATGATGGCAATGATAATTATCAATCAAGACATTTATTTGTCTAATAGCAAGGAGCAATATCCATTAGAGTACAGTAGTCGTGACACCAGACACATTAATTATTAATTATTAATAAGGTTTAGTTTTAGGTAATCTAAAGTAAAATACATCAAAATTAAGAGAAAGGAAAAAAAAATTCACCTTACATTAAAAATTAAATAATTCATAATACACAATTAATAGTTTTTATGTATTTTAGTTACAAGAAATTAAGTTATGTGCCAGAAAATCATTCTAAATTTAATCTTTACTTGTTCTGCTCAACCTGGAATACTCACTGGCAACTATGGCAGCCTTTAACTACGACTAAAGTGTACTTAATTTGATAACTTTACTAAATGCTTCTTCTGTTTTAAAAATTATAAATGTAATACAGTAGAATCCCAAATAACACGTACTCAAGCCACTCATTTTCAATACATTACTAGTGAAATTTTGTAATGAACACATGGAAGACCAAACAGCGTGCCATATATTTTAGCAAAAATATGCCATGCCCTGGGATTTTTTCCCTCTACTTGGTAATTAACCTAAGATGAGGTCTTTGCCTCTATGGGCAAGGCCCATTCTCTCTTCCAATGTAAACAAACTCCCAAGCCACCAGTTCACTGTAAGTCTCCCATACCCCTACTCAGTCCTGTGTGAGTCAGTCAATTTTCAATCTTTTCATTAATCCACCTCACCTCTGGAGATTAACTATACCACCCCAAGAGGAATATTAGTGATGCTAGATGTGTCATGAAAAAGAATAAGTGTGAAAAACTTAATGATTTGAAAAATTTATATTTTATATATGTTTAGAGGCAATACACACGTGATGAAGGTGGTGCAGGCCTTAGCTCTCAACGAAGCAACAATTCACACAATTAAAAAGACTAAAGTGAAGATAAGAGCTTGTACAATGAGTAATCCTGATTGTGATGTAAAAATGAATGTCAAATAGATCACCACAGCTAAGACAGAAAAGGTACTGAATGTGTAGAGTGAGCTCCTATGATCAAGATTAATGCCCTTAAAACCCTATCATGCAATAAACCCTCAATTTAATGGACTAATGAGGGATGTCCGTTATTTTTTTTTTTTTTTTTTTTTATTATCACACCGGCCGATTCCCACCAAGGCAGGGTGGCCCGAAAAAGAAAAACTTTCACCATCATTCACTCCATCACTGTCTTGCCAGAAGGGTGCTTTACACTACAGTTATATAAGAATAATGTTAAAAAATAGCAATGTAGAGCTTTTTTTTTTATTATCACACTGGCCGATTCCCACCAAGGCAGGGTGGCCCGAAAAAGAAAAACTTTCACCATCATTCACTCCATCACTGTCTTGCCAGAAGGGTGCTTTACACTACAGTTTTTAAACTGCAACATTAACACCCCTCCTTCAGAGTATAGGCACTGTACTTCCCATCTCCAGAACTCAAGTCCGGCCTGCCAGTTTCCCTGAATCCCTTCATAAAAGTTACTTTGCTCACACACCAACAGCACGTCAAGTATTAAAAACCATTTGTCTCCATTCACTCCTATCAAACACGCTCACGCATGCCTGCTGGAAGTCTTAATACACAATTTAGATATACTGCAATAAACATTGAAAATAAATAAGCTAAAAGTACAATTTACTCACTGGATTTGCCTTTAACTTTAAAAGGTTGTTATATCAGAGTCTGGCATATCAAGGGTTTTTTGTACTATGAAACAGAGTGTAAGCAGGAAGGAAGGTCTAAGCAAGTGTGTATGTTTAGTTCTGGCTTCCTCAACTGGTTTAAGGTATTCAGTTGGCTGGACAATATTAAATTTAATGGATAAAGTGCATCTGCTGACCATGCATTTGCCAGGAATTTCCCCGGACAGTCAAAAGAAATTATTTCTGAGGGTAAGTACAAACCTGAGCAAGTTAGTGTGGCACAGTAGGACCACAGACACCCTCTACACACCTTTCTAAAATAATCAACATGCACCAGAAACCAGAATTTGAGGTAAGAAAATACTGTTTTATATAGCTTCTTTAGCTACATATACTGCATTGTAACTTCTACACACCTCACAACATTTAACTACAATGTAATTTAGGAAAAATAATGAGAGAGTGGGTGAGATGTTATCAACAAATTTTGTTGAAAATAAGAAAAAGTTTTGGAGTGAGATTAACAAGTTAAAGAAGCCTAAAGAACAAATGGATTTGTCAGTTAAAAATAGGAGAGGAGAGTTATTAAATGGAGAGTTAGAGGTATTGGGAAGATGGAGGGAATATTTTGAGGAATTGTTAAATGTTGATGAAGATAGGGAAGCTGTGATTTCGTGTATAGGGCAAGGAGGAATAACATCTTGTAGGAGTGAGGAAGAGCCAGTTGTGAGTGTGGGGGAAGTTCGTGAGGCAGTAGGTAAAATGAAAGGGGGTAAGGCAGCTGGCATTGATGGGATAAAGATTTTTTTTTTTTTTTTCTTTTCAACAAGTCGGCCGTCTCCCACCGAGGCAGGGTGACCCAAAAAAAAGAAAGAAAATCCCCAAAAAGAAAATACTTTCATCATCATTCAACACTTTCACCACACTCGCACATTATCACTGTTTTTGCAGAGGTGCTCAGAATACAACAGTCCAGAAGCATACACATATAAAGACACACAACATATCCCTCCAAACTGCCAATATCCCAAACCCCTCCTTTAAAGTGCAGGCATTGTACTTCCCATTTTCAGGACTCAAGTCCGACTATATGAAAATAACCGGTTTCCCTGAATCCCTTCACTAAATATTACCCTGCTCACACTCCAACAGATCGTCAGGTCCCAAGTACCATTCGTCTCCATTCACTCCTATCTAACACGCTCACGCACACTTGCTGGAAGTCCAAGTCCCTTGCCCACAAAACCTCCTTTACCCCCTCTCTCCAACCCTTTCGAGGACGACCCCTACCCCGCCTTCCTTCCCCTATAGATTTATATGCTTTCCATGTCATTCTACTTTGATCCATTCTCTCTAAATGACCAAACCACCTCAACAACCCCTCTTCTGCCCTCTGACTAATACTTTTATTAACTCCACACCTTCTCCTAATTTCCACACTCCGAATTTTCTGCATAATATTTACACCACACATTGCCCTTAAACAGGACATCTACACTGCCTCCAACCGTCTCCTCGCTGCTGCATTTACCACCCAAGCTTCACACCCATATAAGAGTGTTGGTACTACTATACTTTCATACATTCCCTTTGGGATATCCCTTTGGGATAAAGATAGAAATATTAAAAGCAGGTGGGGATATAGTTTTGGAGTGGTTGGTGCAATTATTTAATAAATGTATGGAAGAGGGTAAGGTACCTAGGGATTGGCAGAGAGCATGCATAGTTCCTTTGTATAAAGGCAAAGGGAACAAAAGAGAGTGCAAAAATTATAGGGGGATAAGTCTGTAGGTAGTAGGTTGGTAGACAGCAACCACCCAGGGAGGTACTACCGTCCTGCCAAGTGAGTGTAAAACGAAAGCCTGTGATTGTTTTACATGATGGTAGGATTGCTGATGTCTTTTGTCTGTCTCATAAATATGCAAGATTACAGGCATGTCTTGCTACTTCTACTTACACTTAGGTCACACTACACATACATGTACACATTTATTTATACACACTCATCTGAGTTTTCTTTGATTTTATCTTAATAGTTCTTGGTCTTATTAATTTTCCTTTTATATCCATGGAGAAGTGGAATAAGAATCTTTCCTCCGTAAGCCATGCGTGTTGTAAAAGTCAACTAAAATGCCGGGAACAATGGCTAGTAACACCCTTTTCCTGTAAAGATTACTAAAAAGAATAAGAAGAAAATTGTCAAAGTGGGAAGTCTGAATGTGCGTGGATGTTGTGCAGATGATAAGAAAGAGATGATTGTGGATGTTATGAATGAGAAGAAGCTGGATGTCCTGGCTTTAAGTGAAACAAAGCTGAAGGAGGTGGGAGAGTTTCAGTGGAGAGGAATAAATGGGATTAGGTCAGGGGTTTCAAATAGAGTTAGAGCTAAAGAAGGAGTAGCAATAATGTTGAAGGATAAGCTATGGCAGGAAAAGAGGGACTATAAATGTATTAATTCAAGGATTATGTGGAGTAAAATAAAGATTGGATGTGAAAAGTGAGTTATAATAAGCGTGTATGCACCTGAGAAGAGAGAAGCGTAGAGGAGAGAGAGAGATTTTGGGAAATGTTGAGTGAATGCGTGGGGAGTTTTGAATCAAGTGTGAGAGTAATGGTGGTTGGGGATTTCAATGCTAAAGTGGGTAAAAATGTTATGGAGGGAGTAGTAGTAAATTTGGGGTGCCAGGGGTAAATGTAAATGGGCAGCCTTTAATTGAGCTATGTGTAGAAAGAAATTTGGTAATAAGTAATACATATTTTATGAAAAAGAGGATAAATAAATATACAAGGTATGATGTAGCACGTAATGAAAGTAGTTTATTAGATTATGTATTGGTGGATAAAAGGTTGATGGGTAGGCTCCAGGATGTACATGTTTATAGAGGGGCAACTGATATATCGGATCATTATTTAGTTATAGCTACAGTTAGAGTAAGAGGAAGATGGGAAAAGAGGAAAGTGGCAACAACAAGTAAGAGGGAGGTGAAAGTGTATAAACTAAGGGAGGAGGAAGTTCGGGTGAGATATAAGCGACTATTGGCAGAAAGGTGGGACTAGTGCAAAAGATGAGTAGTGGGGGGTTGAAGAGGGTTGGAATAGTTTTAAAAATGCAGTTATTAGAATGTGGGGCAGAAGTTTGTGGTTATAGGAGGGTGGGGGCAGGAGGAAATGAGGAGTGATTG